CAGAGATGTCTTACTAAATCCCCAAACTGAATTCTTGGTCAGATTCAAATTTAAGATTTTGTGCTTTTCAGTATCGTATAGCTGTGTTTTGGAAGATTTTTTGTTTTGCTGTATCATTATCATTTTGCTACACCTATTCTTCAAACAAAATGTGCTTCAAATACAAGTAAGGTCAAATGTCTTATTTCCACCTGTAACAACCAAACTGGACAATATTTCTTCTTTCAGTTTCGGCTTGGTACCCCGTTCCCAAGAGGGAAGGAAATAGCTTTAATCCTTAGCAAAACAAAACAAAAATCAGATTCCCTAACTGAAAAAAATAATTTGTTCCCGAAGATAGAATTTTTAAAACACACACACACACATGCACAATACTCTGGAAAAATATATTGCTCTTCCCTCCCTGGTCTCTAAAAATGGAGAGATTTTAACAGGTCTGACTTTTGGCAGATGACCTCTCTTGTTTGTTCATATGTGTTTTCCAAATATAAAAGTGAAATAGAGTCCCAAGGGCACTGTACTTGAAAGGTTATGAGAGTTAGAGATTTTAACCATGCCTGCCAAATCAGCAGATGGCTTGTGATTATAATTATATGCATCAATAAAACGAATAATCTTACAAAATTTGAATTTCTACTAAAGTAAGGGATTTAATAAGCAGATGCAACAGAATGCATTTTCTTTAACCCTTTTTGCAGAGAATGATGGTTCTCATGCAGAACAGATAAAGCAAAGCTCTGTTCAAGCAACTTTACTACAAACCCAACATGTTTATACTTTTCTCTATAGCGCAAGTGATCTAATGACACAGAATTTTTAAAGGTATTATTTGACCACTCAAAAATGCATGCAGGATTATCTTATTCTAATTGTTTTAAAAGGTGATAAAACAGTATTTGTATCTTAGGGTTTTTGCAACTTGTGGGCAAAATTTGGTAAAACTTGACATATTATAGTCACTACTATGGAATTTCTTCAAAAAAGACATCCACGGATTCATGTTTGCATTAGATAGCCATATTTCATCTGTTGTTAAAAACAAGCTATTATTGTTGTTGTATTTTGGAGCACATAGTATTAACCCTTTTTTGACCTATACCTGAATAACCCAAGTTATAGGTTATAATGGGTTTTCTGGCACCTATTTGATGCCAAAACTTAGATGTGTGATAACCAATTGGCATCCAAGATTACATGAAATGGTTAGCAATGCATCTTACATACAAAAAACACACCATAGTTTTAGGCACACATTTTTGGAGTAAGCTTTGTTTCTACTTATTTCAATTTATATTGAAATAAGTTGAGGATCAGGATGCAACATACAAATGCAAAAAGAAAAAAAAGAAACACATTAAATTGACATTGCTGGGCCATTTTAACAAGCACAAAATACATAATTTAGAAAAAGGAGCAATTTTGTTTGCAAATGGATTTATATCTTCATACTATAATTAAGGGACAAGAAAATGTCACTGAAGAACAATTTTATTCAGCACCATGAAAACATAGTCCCCTTTGGAGAGGTCCCATTTAAATGTTTGATTGCATTTGGACATTGTAAATATCAGTTAGTGGCAGCAGACTGGGAATGCAAAGTATATGTCATATATCTTATGTTGTTATACAAAGAATTATTTCATCCCCTTTGAGTGGATTTAAAAAAAACACGAGCAAAAAGAAGAATTACAATAATGTAAATTCTTAGTTCAGAGATTATTGATCTGATATCTACCTTTAGAAGTGAAAGTTATTTTGTTTAGGTGATCCAGCTGTTCATATGTAATGTAAAAGTAGGGTGGGTATGAGGTGCGGACCATTTTTTACACAACAGGTTGCAATGTGGGAATATATTTTCTGTTATATTATAAGTAGAATATAACCAAGGAAGTCAGAAGGCATTAACTTTTCAAAGCCAGCAACTTGCAAGCAAAACTGTTGTACTGTTCCAAATTGTACTGAAAAGGAAAATAACACGTGGCAGCTACATCTGCGATCTCAAAAATTTACAGCATTGCTTTGCTACATTATTTTATTTAGTTTGCTAAACTAGAGGAAAAGGTAAGTATGCAGTCATGTATTGCAGCTCCAAAAATTTGCACTTTTTCAATATGTTGATACTCCTCCTTCGCTACGTATCAAGCATTTATAATAAACACATGGGGGAAAAGTTAATTTCTAACAACAAACTTTTGCCATAACATTTGCTCCCTGCCACTTCTGAAAGATGGGAACATACGAATATGAGATGTTGCTAATATTTTTTTGCCATCTAGCCCAACACCATCTATTCCAATGAACAACAGAGACCCAGGAAGGGGATTTTTACATCTCTTTGTACTGAGCAATGAATGAATTTGATTTTTCATGGGAGGTGGACTTGAAAGCTTAGAGTTAAAAGACAGACGTGCTTTTTTGCCTAAGTTACTCAGGTTCAGTGCTGCCACAAAAGTATGCAAACAACAATTCCACCCATGCGAAAGTAGGCAAAAACCTCCATACACAAACTTCATCTTGTTTCACAAAACTTGATACTGGGATTTAATGTTTCACCTCCTGCAGTGAATATCTGATGGCACATGTGTCTCTATACAGGTAACATTGTGTTTGACCTTCACAAACAGGTGTCAGAGTCCAAAAGCACCTTGAGAAAGATTACTGGGATGTGTTTGTATGTGTGTGCATGGAAGTTGGGGAGGACACACATGTCAGTTCTTGATATCTGAAATGAAGATGGTGAAAACCCAGAGTTAGAAGCAGTCAGAATAAAAAAGCATTCCCCAATTTTAAAACACGAATTTTTGAAATAAAGTACATTATGGTCAACTGTGTTCTCTGTCCTGTTTAAGAGGGTCTTCTTTCTCTGTCAGAGTGATTTCAGACCACCCGTCCCAAGTCAGTAATGATAAAATGATAAAACCCACAGGGGAACTATTGATGTTTTACCTTTCTTTTAGTAAAGGGGTACCTATAAGGGAAAAAGCTGTGAGATAGAGAACTCATCAAAATATACAAAAGTTTTTAAATGTTAGCAGAGAACCTGACAGATATGTTATCATGAACAGATATTGCAAGCATGATTCTTATGAAAGCATTGCAAAAGACATTTTCACACCTTTAAACCAAGACATGTTCACCATAAGCGGATAAATGAAGACTTGACAAATGTATCTTCCACTAATTATAACTCTGCATAATGGGAAAGTAATACAGGATGGATGACTTTGTGACCTTATGAAAGTTTTCTTTGAGATATTACAGATACAAACCCCAATCTAAAGTGGAGTATTAACGCTTATGACAGAATTCTATCTGCAAATTAATGCTGGTGAATTTACTAGGTACAATTATTTCCCTTCAGTGAATTATGTATATATTTATGTATTTATTTGATAAAAATGAACAGCTGTATTCCATGTTATGTAGAATCAAACAAATATATACGTTACTGGGATACAAACTTCTATGAGCATATGGTTAAGTCATAATTAGCAACTTGAGCTTGTTCACACACTTCTCATTCAACTGTCCAAGCAGAAGAAAATTGGGGGTGTAAAGTACAGTTGCAGATGAATAACCTGGTACTTTCTATGCACAGATTACTAATAATGTTATTGACAATTTTAACAATTTAACTTTTCAAATATCCTATGGACATTGTTTCCTGACATCAGTCTATCACAAATTTCACATTCCCACAAATAACATTTCTGCTATCTATGTGAAAATTCCTATTATGATCTAGATTATAGTTTTACATCATACTGTTATATTTATGTGCACTTGGAAGTAAATAGTGCTGAAATCAGTGACACTTACTTCCAGATAAGTGTGTCTGAGACAAGATTTTGTGGGGTGAAAGTAGCAGTGCAGGAAAAGTTTTATAAAGTGTTCTGAGAATTCTAACACTGGTAAATAAATCAAATAAACATGCTCATTTTAAAAATGTAATAGTTTAAGCATTATAAAAGAAAGGTTATGTGACAGTAAAATTGAATACACAATATTTCTGTCTCTGAAATGGAAATCTGCGATCTCATTATCACTTCTATCTACATGTTTTGACAATTTGTGATTAATCTGGAACTATGACTTGAAATTTAGGTGTATTCAAGGGAAGAGCAGCAGAAAATATTTCAGCTCTATGAAGGAGACTTTCTTGCAACTTCCTGTTGTCATATTTGTTCCATCATGAAAAAAAGAACAGATGCAGTGAAAGGGACCCTTTGATCTACCAAACTCAGTCATTACTGTTCCACATTAAAACAACATGTACACAGGTAAACAAACAAGGCTAGTTGCTGCTTTTGCCTCACACATATTAAAAGAGATAGAGGAGGATAGAAAGGGATCAATTGATGTTATGATTGTAATCAACACATCCTCACATCTTTTTTTTATTTTCAACAAAAACAAGTGGTCAAATGTGGCAGGAGGGGGAGAAAACATGATTGAATACTGTCGTTTCCATATCAAAATCCAAGATGATAAAAAGCTTCATTTCTGTACACATGGTTATAAATGCCATGCCATTTATTCAAGTGAATAAGCATCTGGCATGTAGATTGAAATTTGAAATTAATACACAGTTATTCCCACCCCGTATCAGCAAAAAAAACCAACAACAACAAAAAACATAACATGTTGCTTTTGGAGAAATCTAGAAAACAACAAATTTTTGTGAAATTGTTCATCTGGGTTGCCCTTTATTGTGATAAACAATGCATTTCTCCCCACAACATCCTGTTAAGTCATAACCACATTGAGTTGGCTGAGTATCCCGTTCTGAGTATCCCGTTTACTTTAGAAATTCAAAACTTTTGTAAAGATGACACCCAGGGAAAGAGGCACCAATTCCAAAGACATTTCCCTTATTCAGAAGTGTCACAAAAGCAATCCTTTCGTTATGACCTACTTGTCCAAAACGGACTTCCAAGCCTATGGTTAGGCTAAGATTTGCTCTACTTTTTCCCCAGGGCATAATTGTCAGACTGACTTACCGTGTGCCTTTTAGCCTTTGTTCTGCCTCTCGCGCTGACATCAGGGAAGCAGTGATGTAGAATAAAGCAGGGGTGGGCTAGGTTAGTCCAGTGTTTGTGTCGTTGTGTGGTGTGCAGGGACACTCTGTGATACTCTAGTGAGCTGCTAAGCTTTTTTTGTAGGCTTTGTGTCATTTACTTAACGACCAATCTCATTAGCTGCCAGGGTACAATGGGCTGATGCATTTTCTATGTACATACTCTACACAGTGACCCTCAAGGTTGCCGAAGGTCTATTTAATCAGTCAGATGCTGAATATATTTGCAGTAAATCACTAAAAAAAACCCGAGACCACAGAGGTATCTCATGAGGCTTTAATGTTTCTTGGGAGCTTGCTGAAGGGAAGAGGAAGCAAAATTTAAACACAAACACTTGGGGGGAGAAAGGAATGGGACGGTCAGAAAGATTGCACTTATGACCTTTAATAATTGCAGTAACTTTGGAGACCCTATGTGTTCTTGCAGCTGATTGTCATTTCCTCCATCCAGTTCATGCTTCAGACTAATCACATTATTGTACTAAAATCCCTTTAAACAACAGCAAAACAACAAGATGAACAATCTTTCACAGGTTGGCAAAGGTGCATTTTCTCTCTCTTTTTTCTTTCTTTCTGGGCAACCTCAGAGTTGGCACCCATGTATTTCTGCCCTCTCTTCAGTTACAAGGCATAAACCCTTTTAACTCCTATGAAAAATGAAATGCTGAAAAGCCCTCTGAATGACGACAGCTGTCCATAAGTATCAGGGAGAGTTCTATTGTCCAACTTGTCCCTGGATAAAATGAATACTTTACAGCAGAGGCTGTTCAGCTTGGCTAAAGAGTATGGGGAGAAGGGGAGGAGGTCACTGGAGATTTCGCACACTAATTTAATCTGGGAAAAGGACAGGCACTGCATCTCACTTGAACAGACTGGCGGCAATCTGGGCTCTCACAGAACTATCTCCTTTTGCCTGTGCTCTATTTATTCCTTATCTCTGTTTACCAACCGCTAGGTCCCTTTCATTCACACCACGAGGCCGTTCTCCTACTATCAGTCAGCAGCTGACACTGTGGAAGAGCCTCAAAGGCAAAAAAAGGGATCAAAACTAAACCAAAGCTGTATAAACAATGCAGCAGTAGAAGTAAATGCATAAATCCTAATTCTTAACCCAACCCACAGGGTGCGAACAGAACCTTTATAGTAAATCCAACAAACCCACCACAGTGAGCTGTGGGCTACAGAGGAAACAACAGAAGCCAAGTATCATTCATGAAATCATCATCTCAGGCAGAAACACCCACAAATGCACACATTTTGCATACTCAACAAGGCATGTATTAGAATTGCTTTAGTGTCTAAACTTTATCATTGAAAGTATTCAGCATTTTCCTACCTATGCTTGCTTTCAAAGTAAGTACTTAAGAATGATTAGTAAAATGTTCAGAAGTCTCAAAGTTTATCAAAGTGTTTAAACAGATTTAAGAGATGATGGGGAGAAGGATAAACAAATTATGTGCCCTGAATTGCATTTTTTACTCTGTCTTTACTTTATTAGAACTCTTGTTTAAATTAGCATGTCCGGCAAAGATAACTTTTAAAATGAAAATACTTAGAATGACATTAACTTTCTGTACTAGAGTTAAATCACCACCAGCAAAAAGTTACTTGATTGCAATGTATGACTCCTGTAAAACTTCTTTATATATTAGATATAGAAAGAGAAGGGAACAGAGAGTTAATAAAACAACTCCTCTTTTTGAGGACATTAACAGTGAGAAACAACTGTTTTCCTTTGTAGCTTTCAACTTCAGGATGGCATCTGACTTTTCAAAGAATAAGTAAATTTAATTTTTCATTTTGAATAGTAGAGAAGATGTTTTGCTTTGAACTGAGACTGATAGTATTTCAAAATCTCTTTTAGAGTATCGCCTTTACACAGAATGAATTTAAATTATATTCCATCAGTTTTTCAAAGTTGGATGCATACAATGAAGTTCTCACACAAGAAAATGCAACATGAGTCCAAACTCACATTGAGAAAAAGAACTATGGTCTTGTAACTACAATTTTTTAAAATATAAAAATGAAAACAGTGGTTTTCATCTTTCAAAACATGTTAGATACATTTTCAGAATTGTTGGGAAAATAGTGACAAAAATATTGCTCATTATAAGAGATGGTCTATTATGCCAAATTTCTTCTCTGATTTCCACCTATATGCATTATGAGCAATGAAGTTTTTACTACTTGGATCCTTTTTTACAAATGAATTAATGAATTAAATTTATCCTTTCACCAGCTGCTAGGCAGCAGATGGAACCATTTCTGAAGCCTTGTTGAATTCTATCCATAAAACTCATTTCCTAGGATTAGCTGTCCAAAGTTTTTTTTTAATGTTTATATACCGCTTGGGGTTTTAAATTTTGTAAGGCTAAACTTTCCATTGAATATTTCCCTCTCCACTCATCTCCCAGATATCA